AATGGAAAAGAGGAGAAGAAGAATCTTCTGAGCTGGTACCTGTTTTCACTTCGACATGAGGAATTGTTAACCCGACTACGAGAATTGATTTGTTGTTGTTCAGTTGTTAAGTCGTGTCCGACTCTTCGTGTCCCCATGAACCACATCGCGCCAGGCCTTCCTGTCCTTCACTGCCTCCCTGAGTTTGCTCAGTTTCATGCTCATTGCTTCAGTGATGCTATCTAACCATCTCATCCTCTGCCGTCCTCTTCTCCTTTTGCCTTCCATCTTTCCCAGCATCAGGGTCTTTCCCAAAGAGTCCTCTCTTCGCATTAGGTGACCAAAGTATCTGAGCTTGAGCTTCATTATCGATCCTTCCAATGAGCAATCAGGGTTGATTTCCTTTAAGATTGACTGGTTTGACCTCCTAGCAGTCGGAGGGAATAAAACATGGGTATTTATCTGCCTAGTCCCTTGAGAGTCCTCTCTTCGCATTAGGTGACCAAAGTATCTGAGCTTGAGCTTCATTATCGATCCTTCCAATGAGCAATCAGGGTTGATTTCCTTTAAGATTGACTGGTTTGACCTCCTAGCAGTCTCGGGCTGACTAAAATCAAGGGAGGCATGATTTAGAGATGTCCTGGTACTGAATTTATTTATTTATTTTATATTTATAGAATTTGGGCGGGGGGGGATATCCCATATATGGGTGAATGGATTTCTTGCATTGCATTCAGTTCAATTTTAATTACATTTTTCACCCCAACTGCTACGTTTTGATTGATTATATGCCATCAAGTCATTTTTGACTCTTCGTGGTTACATAGATAGATCTTCTCCAAGATGTTCTGTCCCCAACCTGGTCCTTCAGGTCTTCCAACAGTGCCCCCATCACCATTGTAACTGAGTCCCCCACCTTGCTGCTGGTCATCCTCTTCTTCTCTTTACCCCATTGATCAATTGACTGATTAGGTGCCATTGAGTCAGTGTCAACTCTTAGTGACCATATAGATAGATTTTCTCCAGGATGATCGATCCCCAACCTGGTCCTTCAGGTCTTTCAACAGTGCCCCCATCACCCCTGTAACTGAGTCCCTCCACCTTGTGCTGGTCATCCTCTTCTTCTCTTTCCTTCCACCTTCCCCAGCATTAGAACCTTCTCCAAAGAGCTAGGTCTTCACCAATCATTATTGTTATTGTTGCTGTTGTTATTAGGCATCCCACCCCCAGGACACCAAAGCGCAGCTTGACAAAGATTGTGCAACCTTGATTCATCTGGAAGGCATCGTTTATGTCAGAATCATCTGTGTGATACTTCCAGGCTCAAAGCAACCACAAGAAACCTTGGCAGGAGGTCAGAGGAAGCAATCTGCCAAGATCCCCAGGACTGACACTTACTTTCTTTCTCAGATACTAATATCTTCTAGGACACTCGATACTTGTGGATTTACCTGATTCCAGAATCTGGGAATGGGAAATGATGGGCCATGGCAAAAAATCAGAAGGAGTCGAGTAGCACCTTTTCCAACTCACAAATGTTATTAGCGTAAGCTTTCATGAGCTGCAGCTTACTTCTGATTTTTTGCCACCATACACTAACACGGCTCTCCTTCTGCAATGACAACCATGGGAGATTGATCCAGGGGTTCTCAGTGGAAATTAAAATGATAAACAATTTCCCAGTTCTCCAGACTAACACCAGCTAAGCTCATGGAGATGGTGAAGCAGCAGGGAGGCCTGTTACTACTTTCAAACTTCTATCCAACTGAAAGGGGGGGGGGAATCACCCAATTTCTACTCCTCACTTACTCATTACCATCCAAACAACCCATTGTTCCCTTTCTTAGTTGTCTATCAAGGAGCTGAGAAGCATAAGCCAAACCAGTGGAGGCTTCTGAGGTCCTATTTCCAGGAGACAATGATGCAATGAGGTAGCCAAACTTGCAAGGGGCAGAGAAACAAGCAACCAGGAGGCTGGGCAACTTGATTTTTCCAAGACAAAGGACTGAACTTCCCCCCCCCCCCCCCCTCCCCGAG